GGCGGCGCACAGAGGAGGGCAGGGGGAGGGGGAAGGCTTCCTAGGAGGCTTAGACGGCGCCGACCCTGCATCTACAGACAAGGCCCGCGCCTTCTGAGAAGCAGGGGCGCTTCTATAGAGGCCTCCATGGGGTCTAGGTGGATAGGGTAGGAGGATCGCGCGGCATTGCCAATGTGTCGCCAATGCATCGGAGATGCATCGAGGACATCTCGGCGACGTCGGCATGGAGAACATCGGGCTCCGCATGGAGCCGCGTCGCCGATGCATCGGCGATGGGGCGCGATCCTCCGACCGATCCAGGAGGCCTAGACTCTAAAAAGCCTTCCCCTGCCCCCCCTTCCTCGCGTGGCCGATCTCAGGGCGTCCCCTCCTGGATGCTCGAGCCCGGAAGCTCGAACTCCCCGACCCTCCGCCGATCCCCTCCGCGCGCGTCCGCGGCCCTGCCCTGGAGCCCCCGACCCCTTCCCTGGGGGTCGATTCTCGCCCAGATCTGGCTTCGATGGTCTCGAGGGCCCGACGATGTAAGACCAAACCAGGACGAGGGTAAATTCGGGAGAGGATGCATCAAGAATCTCTGAGCCCTGGCGGCTCTGAAGGATGTATCGGGCGTCGCGGCCTCCTCAGAGCGTTCTGGAACGCTCAGGGAGCGTTCCAGAACGCTCAGGAACGAGTGCATCCTCGCCCTAGCCCCGTCCGACCGGGGCCCTATGATGGGCCCAAGAGGCCGAAATCGAGACAAACAACCTACAGGTGCCGCGGGTTGGGGCCGAAGCGCCCACAAACACTCAAGCTGCTACACAGCACAGGTCCTATCAGGCGGCAGACTCCATCGACGCGCAAATTGAGCCACGCGCCTCACCCGCAACAGAAAATCAGATCGAGGAAAGACGCCCAGATTGAAAAAGTGTGAAGGGGCCCTGCCTGGGACACACAAATAAGTACACACAAATGAAATGATTCCCCATGTGTCCCCATATTTTCGGGGTTATTGTCTTCCCCCCCACTTCCCATATTTTCCCATATTTTCTGGGGGATCGACGATTAATTGTGTCTGTGTTTTTTTCCCTCCTGAAAGTCACATCGTCGGAGATCTGAAGCTCGGACAGAGGCCTCCCGGATGAGCTCCGAGCAGGCGGGGCTGGAGCATCGCGGCACCCTCCGCAGCATCGGCAATCGGCGGAGCTTCGGCGACGCCCGCGTGGAGGCAGTCGGGCTCCACAGCGAGCCGCGTCGCCGATGCATCGGCGATGCGGCGCGACCCGCCGATCTTCCCCCCCTCGGACCCCATGCAGGCCCAGATCGGAAGCCCTGGCCCTCCGCTGATCCACGCGAGGCGCCCCGACCCTCCCCGGAGGTCCGGGCGTCTTGACCTGTTCCCCACGGGGTCCGTGCGCGCACCTCGCGCGTTCGGCCACGTGGGGGCCCCAGCTGATGGGCCGACGCTCCACCACCACCGCCACCGCCACAGGCAGGAGAGGGAGGAGAGGGAGGAGGAGGAGGAGGAGGAGGAGGAGGAGGAGGAGGAGGAGGTCCCGAGCCGTCCTCGCACGGCCCGGAGGCACGGCGGGGCCCCCCCAGAAGGCCGAGCACGGCGAACAGAAACGACGCCACGCTCCGGCACCTGAGCATCTTCTCAGGGTGGAGGGCTTACAGGGCAGTTCTTTTTATACATAGGATGCTTAAAAATACAGGACTGTTAATACACAATTAGTTAATGAATACATGCATGCATGAACCTCATCGTTGTTATTAGTACTGAATCCCTGCATGTTTAATACATGATCCGCACGCGGAGCATGTATTCAAAACGGCACTGTAGGGTGACATCCACATGGGTTTTTGCACCTCGAAAATCAACTCGTCCCGTGATTGACCTTTTGCAGATGCAAGCCTCGAAAATCCATCGAAACGGCAGTTCAGATTTCACCCTTTACCCTACACCCAAAGAAAATGCTCGGGGTACGTCGGATCTCTGGGTCCGCCCAATCCCCGGGAGTGGGGGGCAAGGGGTGACTGGCATAGAGCGGGAACATCGACTTGGAACCGGCGGTACATTGACGATAGATCGGCGATGGGCCCCCGATAGTGCATCCGCACGTTCCTGGGCGGGGGTGGGCAATCGGGCCCCTATCGGCGGTGAGTAGACGATTGGGGTTCGATGCGCCCCCCCCCTATCGACTACATACTACACGCAAGAGTGACCCTGGGTAAGAGTGACCTTTGGTGCGAGGCTCTTTGGGCGTCGCGGGGGGATCATACACAAGCGCGCAAGACGCTACCACCGCATCGCGATCGGCGATCGGGGGACCCCAGAGGGCCCACACAGAAGGTCACTCTGGCGAAGGGTCACTCTTACGTGGAGTCGACCCTGTGCCTGTCCTCAGGCCGGGCATGTCTTCCCACAGGCGGATCTTGGAAGAAAAGTCAAAAAAAAAAAGGTCGAACCGAAAAATTGAGGAATGGTCCAGAGGGCTCGAAAACTCGCCACCAGACCATGGCTCCACAGTCCTTGTGCACTCCTCTCCTGTGGAGGGGCATGCCCGCCTTGCCCCCCCGGTGCCCGCCCCCGCCCCGCCTCGCGGCTCCTGAGCGAGGCGCCCGCCGCCCCCATCGCCCCCCCCCCCCTTCGGTGGCAACTCACAGGAGCCTCCCATACCCCTCTCGTCGGCGCTTGCTCCCCGACGCGAATCGACGCTGAATCGACGCCAATCGACGCTCATCGACGCTCATCGACGCTGGATCGCCGATTGCCAGACGCTCACCGACGCTCCATCGACGCTAGATCGACGCCTGTCGACGCCAATCGACGCTAAATCCACGCCCATCGACGCGAATCGTCGCTCATCGACGACCCTGGACGCTAAATCGCCGATTACCAGACGACGGTCTTGGACACCCACAAGTGGGTACGAGAAAGATTGGCACGGTGCCCAACAACAGAGGTTGTTCCAAACTAACAGCGGCCCCTGTTGGGCAGGCGGTCTTCAGTCTCAAATGGACACGGTGCGCGGCGACGCCGGCAGCGGGTCCTGCCCAGAAGAAACAAGAACTCCTGTCAGGTCGGGCACGGCCCACTACGGGCGGATGTTGGGGCGGAAAAATACGGAATGCCCCAAGATGCTCCGAAATACTTGAAAAGACTCCTCCTGCAGAGGGACGTGCCCGACTCAGAGCTACGGTTGGGCCTCGTGCCCACTCTTTCCGTACCCACGTCGCTCGCGCCGATCCATCGGACCCCCTAATTATCGGCGAGGAGTGGACGACTGGGGGGCTCCGTGCGCCCCCCCCCCCCCTGCGCCGCCCCCCTCCTTCCCTGGCCCAGGAGAGGTGGCCAAGCGGACGAGCGCGTTCCACTACTCGCAGAGTAACTGCTCGCAAATGGCCCGGATCCGCCGCGGGGGATCTGCGATCTCTTGCATGGAGGGAGACGTGTTTTTGCTCGGGCGTCTGCGAGTGGGCACTTGGCGAGTGGTGGAACGCGCGCGGAGAGGCGATAGGTAGGCAAGCGCGTTCCACTGCTCACTCGCGAAGTGACTACCGCAAATGGCCTGGATCCGCCGCGGGAGGTTCACGATCCATGCCATACGAGAGGACATGTTTGCTTTCGGCCGCCTGCGAGTTAGAGGACAGAGAACTGTGTACACACAGTCGGGGCGTTGACCTAAGGAACCGTAAATAAGGAACGAGGCCCCTCCTTTCCATAAGTTAAACTTCGATTTGCCATGGAAAACTTCAGGAAAACAGAAGGCAAACTGTCGAACAATCAAGGAACACCGAGCCCCTCCCACCCGAAAAGGGTTCCTTCTTCAGGGCCCCGGCTGTACACCGATTCTGGCCAGGCCCATCCTAAGTCCAGGATCGGTGCGTACGCCTTCGTGGTGTGGCCAGCGAGGCATAATGTGCACCGATCCTGGACCCTATAAGACGCGCCTGGCCAGGATCGGTGCACATGTTTAGGTCGGGCGCGTCCTCCTACAGGCGGACCTGGGGCGAAAGATAAAATAGTCCCAGAAAATATGCACAAATATCCCCCAAAAATGATCAAAAAAGAGGCCCCGAGCTATTCGACTACTCTCGAATAGTTATTCCTCCTGTAGAGGGAGCGCCCGACTTGACTGAATGTGCTCAGGAGACCGTTTTTTTATCGGGGATAACCCGGGTTATCCCGGGGGGGCTGGGGGAGGAGGGGGCCGGCCGATAACCCAACCTTCGCGCTGTGGACAGCCCAGCATATGCCCGCGCCCCCCCACCCCGGACCTGCACAACCGGCAAGGTTAGTTTATCCTGGGGGGGGGAGGGGGGGGGCGCCGAGCCCAATATCGCAGGCCTAGAGATTGACACCAACACCAATTTCGGCTGTGTGCCTCCACCTAGGGAAGAAGATCTCGATCTCGGCGATGGTGGTAATACTCTTGCTTCCAAGGTGGCCGAAGTATTGCCACCAACACCGAAATCTAGGACCATCTTCCCCCTGTGGAGGCAACCCCCTGTGTTGGTGCTGGTGCCCCTTTCCATCGGGTCAGCGGGAAACCGAAAACTGCAATGCAAGAGAAAAAAAAAGCTGCAGCGCAGGTCTTCGCAAATCCGGGTCAGCCAATAGGCGCGGCCGCCTCGCGGCCACGAGCGGCTCGCTAACCCGGGTCAGCCAGAGGGGGTCCTCGCAGGATCCTGCAGGATCCCGTGCCCTGGCTGACCCCCGTTTGCATGGACCCCCGTCTCTTGAGCCCCGACTCCAGGCCTCCATCGATGACCCGAGTTATCGCCTGATCCTATTAAATATCGTTTTTGTTTTATATATATATATGTGTATATGTATATATATACTGTCTAGATTTATTATTTATTGTATATATATGTAAATATCATAACAAAATAACAACAAAACAAAAACAAAACAAAAGAAACGGGCCTGCTCCCACGACGCGCCGGCACTCCGCGCGCGGCGCCGCGCGCTCGCTCCGCGCAGCGAGAGGCGCCCGCGCGGCCCCCCCGCCGCGCGCCTGCCGGGCTGGGCGGCTCCGTGCCGGAGCCCTCCGTCTCGGAGCCCTCCGCCGGCCCGCCCGCCTCGGCCCCGGCCTCTCGGGGGGGCCCGGCGCCGCTCGCGGCGGCCGCCCGCGGGCGGCGGCCGCCGGCGCCGACGTCGTCGTCGACGCCGTCGCCGTCGCCTCGGCGCGACGGCGGCGGCGGCGCCGTCGCCTCGGCCGCGGAGAGGGCGCCGGCGACGCCGTCGTCGGCGTCGTCGCCTCGCTCGGAGCGGCGGCGGCGGGGACGTCCTCGGCCTCTGGGGCTCTCGGCGGGCCCAGGGACCGTCAAGAAACTGCTCAAGACGTCAAAACAGCCCTCTAACGAAGTCTTCCCGACCCAGAGACCCACGACGTCGTGAGAAACTCACGACGTCGGCCCCCCGAAGTCTGGAGGCCTTCCCTGGGACCGGTTTTTCATCCCGAGTCGTTTTGTTGACGCTCCCGAGGCCCGGCGAGAGCCATTGTCTAAAACCTTCATCGTGAGTTTCTCGCGACGTCGGAGGTCTGGGGACCTACGGGGGCCCACGCATCAACAAAAAAACGCTGAGGCGCCAGATGTCTGGGCTCGCGTCGCGGAAAATCACGGCCAGGATGTGTTCAGCCTCTTCTGGCCTTCGACGTCGTCGGATGGATCGCAACGACGGCGGCCCCGACAGCCTCGCGCAGCGGAAGATCACGACTGGAAAATTTGGGCCGCTTCCCGCCCTCGACGTCGCCTAGTTTTAAGTCGGGCGTGTCCCCCTACAGGGGGATTTTCGACGAAAAAAAAATACTTTGGGGGGTATTTCTTATTTTTCGTCGAAAATCCCCCTGTAGGGGGACACGCCCGATTTAAGCCTAGTTTGGCCCACACCAGGGGTGCCAGGGGCAAGGCCTGGCGACGACTGGGCGTTCCTCACGCCAGGGGTGGCTTTGCCTCGTCGTCCTGGCGTCGCCATGCGACTGCTCGCGCGTGTACGCGTGCGTGCGCGCGCTGCGGTGTTGTGTGCAAGCGTGTCGGGCACCCCGCCTCGGGGGGAGGGCGTGCAATGCCGCAGGGCCCGTTTCGCCTCGTTTTGCGTCGGCAGTGTTGCCGACTTGTCAGCTTGGTTCTGCTCGGGCCGCCCCCGTGCGTCTTTGCCCGACCAGTATGTCGGGGACTGGGCCTCCTTCTAGCAATGCGTTGGAAGGTTGGCCTGCGGGCACCTCTCTGCATCATGGTGCGTCTCCGTGTGCTGCTCGCGTGAGGACCGCGGGGCTGGTCTGATTCGGCCACCGCCTTGGTCCCTGTCTGTACCAGACAAGCTGGATATTCCCTGGTATCCTTCCCAGGGCACGCTCTGCTGCACCTCCCTCCGTAGCAGCACGAGGTTTTGCCTATCTCTGTGGAGTTAGGCATTCCGGAGGCGTGGGCGTGGAGCTAAAAAAAACTCGATCGAAGCGACGACGGCGGCGACACTGTCCTCGACGTCGTCGTCTCGATCGAAGCGACGACCCTGCCCTTCTCGCGGCTGCGAGAGAGGAGGAGGAGGAGGAGGAGGAGGAGGAGGAGGAGGAGGAGGAGGGAGGGGGAAGGGGGAGGAGGAGGGGAAGGAGGAGGAGGAGGAGGAGGAGGAGGAGGAGGAGGGAGGAGAAGGAGGAGGAGGCGGAGAGGGAGGAGGAGGAGGAGGGAGAGGAGGAGGGAGGAGGAGGGAGGAGGAGGAGGAGGAGAAGGATGAGGAGGGAGGCGGAGCGAAGCGCCGTCGAGAATCAACACTGGAGGCTCTTGGCCGCATCTGGCCCCCGACGTCGCCAGCCTCGGCCTCTCGTCGGGGGCAAGCGCATTCCGCGGCCGCCAGAGGGCGGCGACGGTCCAGAAGCTCCACGATCTGAGGTTCCCAACCCAGGCGCCTTTCCTCGATTGACCCTGAAAGGTCTTTAGAACCCCCCCCCCAAATAGGGGGGTAGCGGGTAGCTAATCCTTCTTCGGCGGCCCTATGGAAGGACTGGGGTCCCACCCAGGGGGGGTAACGACGTATTTCTGTTCCGCGGCACCCGCCGCGCAACAACGACGACGACAGCTACGATTACGATTGCGACTACGACTGAGACGACAAGAAAGAGGAGGAGGAGGCGGCGGCGGCGGCGAAGCGGTATCGGAGCGAGTGACTCAGGCCAGTGAGACAACATAGCGAAACACGCAGAGCAAGATTCAGCTATGTGCGATCGACCGAACGCTACGTAGCGAATGGCGCAACGCCCCCTCCGGAAGGGGTGGGAGTCCCGAGCTGTCCTCGCCCGACCACGGTTCAGCGAGCTGCCCCAGACGAAAGTTTAGAACAGGGCCACTCCTGTTCACCGCCGAGCGCGAAGGCGGGGGGAGGACCAAATGGAAGAAGAAGAAGAAGAAACGGCACAAACATACACTTGTTGCGCTCCGCGCGGACTTCTTGGATCTGCGCTGGACTCCCCTCCCTGGCGCGCGGAGCGCGCCAGGGGCTCGGGGACCTGCTAACCCGGGTCAATTAGAGCCGGGTCAGCACGAAACAAAAAAACTGCAGTGTGGGACAAAAAGCTGTAACGCAGGGCTTCGAAAACCCGGGTCGGTCAATGTATGCGCGGCCGCCTCGCGGCCACGAGCGGCTCGCTAACCCGGGTCGGCCAGAGTGGGTCTTCTCAGGATCCTGCCCCAGACATGCGACTTCCTGATTTTTTCAGGATGGGGCCCCTGGAAGTCCCGACCCTTTCCCAGGACCGGCTTTTTATCCTGAGTCGTTGTCGGCGGTCCCGAGGCCCAGCGAGGGCCCCCCGAGGCCGAAAATGGCCAAAAACCTCCCGCCTTGATTTTCTCACGTCGCGCTCATGGCCGGGGCAGGATCCGGCGCCCTGGCCGACCCCCGTTGGCAGTGGCCCCCGTCCCCAGGCCCCCGAGAGAGGCGGCGCCGGAGGCGCCGCCGGGGGGGCCCATGGTGGCCATCGCTCGGACGTCCATTCCCTGTGCTTTTTGCGGTTTCGTGCGTGGTTTTTTCCCCAAATGATCAAGGATGCTCCTCGATGGTCCTCGCCGAAGGAAAAATGCACTCGCCCGAGCGATGCCAAGGGGCGGGCGGGGCCCCGACGGGCGGGCGGGCCACCGCGGGGCGGGCCGGGCGGGCCGGGCGGGCAGGCCCCGAGGGGCCAGCCAGGCAGGCAGGCCTCCGCGGGGCGGCTGGACCTCGGGAAGCCAGGAATAGGGGAACAAAAAGTGGCATACACATAAAAACTCCGAGGTCCGCGCGGATTTCTTGGATCGGCGCTGGGGCCCCCCGGCGGCACCTCTGGCGCCGCCCCTGGCGCGCTCCGCGCGCCAGGGAGGGGGGTCCAGCGCCGATCCGAGAAATCCGCGCGGACCTCCGAGTTTCTATGTTTATGTCATCTCTTGCTCCCCTAAGGAAGGAACGCTTCTAGGGTGCCGGATGCGTTACAGTGTCGCCGGAGAGGGGGGGGGTCTTCACTGCTTGCTCGGGTGAGGCAGGCGGGCCTCCGGAAGCAACCGGCGGTTCTCCGGAATCGGTGGGAGGCGCGGGGGCCCTCTGGGTTTCTTGACGAGCGTGGGGGGTGCCCCCCCCGACGGGGGTCAGCCTCGCCTCGTCGTCGCGCCTCCACAGGGGTCGGAGCGCCTTCGGCGCGCGGCGGCTGCCCGCGACGGGGGCCGATGTGGGGCTGTCGGCGGGGGTGACGCCCCCCCGACGCTTATTAAGAGACTCAGGGTAGGGTTCGGAGATCGCCACGCGTTCGGCGAATTCCGCCCATGGAGTTGCCTGGATCATTGATCGGTGAGGGTAGGGTTCGGAGTCGGACTTCGCCGCCGATGCATTTGGGCCCTAATTAAGAGGCCCTTCTCGGGCCCAGCGACCATCGAAAGCGGATCGGGGACGAAAACCTAATTACCCCAGGGGGAGGGATCAGGATCGGGGCACTGGAGGAGGAGGATGAGGAGGAGGAGGAGGAGGAGGAGGAACGGGAGGAGGGAGGGGGGAGGAGGAGGAGGAGGGGAGGAGGGGGGGGAGGGGGAGGAGGAGGAGGAGGAGGAGGAGGAGGAGGAGGAGGAGGAGGAGGAGGAGGAGGAGGAGGAGGAGTCTTCTCGAGGCCCTGCTCACGTCACCTGGGAGCCTCGGCCCTCTGTGGGCTCCAGGAGGGCTCCCTCGGAGGCGCGCCGTGGGGGCCCCCTCGAGGCTTCCGGGTGGGCGCTCGGGGCGTCGTGGTGCTCGGGGAGCCTCCTGGGAGATCCTCCTCCTCCGCCTTCTCCTCTTCCTCCTCGTCCTCCTCTTCGTCCTACCCCCCTCTCGTCCTTCTCTCCCTCTCCTCCTCCTCCTCCTCCTCCTCCTCCTCCTCCTCCTCCTCCTCCTCCTCCTCAGCCTCCTCCTTCTCCTCTTCCTCCCCCTCCGTCTCCTGCTCCTCCCCCTCTTCCTCCTCCTCAACCTCCGCCTCCTCCTCCTCCTTCCCCTCGTTCGGGGGCACTTGAATCAAGTGATCAAGTGCCGGTCACGTGATGCATCGCAAGTGACTCCAGGGGCGCCTGGAATCTGATGAACTCCAGGCGCCCCTGGAGCGGGAGGCGGACCCGGGATCCCCTCGGGTCAGGGTCTGCGCATATGAGAGGAAGGCGAGAGCCGAGGGGGAGGAGGGAGGCTTGCGAGGGGTCGCGGGGGTTCCACGAGGTCCTGGGGGCACTACAAGGAAGGGCACTGGGGGATTTCTGCACACAGTTTTTGTTGGTCGGCGGTGCGAGAACGAACCTCTTCCGCTAAAAGCTAGGCGGGCTAAGCACAGCTCTAATTAAGGAGACAGGGCACACGGATTTCTGCACACAGGGGCCCAGTGGGCCTAAGAACAGGCGTACAGTAACCTGGATGATCACCCCTCGCCCTCGTCCTCGTCGCCGTTGTCCTCGGCCTCGAGCCTCGTCGCCGTCACCGTGGGTTATCGACTCAAAGCCACGGCGACGGGTCAGGACGCCCCAAACTAGCCAGGACTCCCGATCGTCCCCGCGCCCCTGCCAGAGTCCGTCCCGGCCGGGCGCTGCGAGCTGCGCCTGGCCGCGGCGACGAAGCGAAGAGGTCGTCCCCCGGCGTCCGTCGTCGCCGCTCGCCGCCGCAGTCGTCCGTCCTCCGTCGCCGTCCCTCGTCGCCGCCGTCGCCCGCCGTCGCCGCCCGCCGCCCGTCGCCGCCGCCGTCGCCGACGCAGTCGTCGCTGCCGCGGTCGACCGTCGTCGTCGCCGCCGCCGCCCGCCGCCACGGCCGCCGCCGTCCGTCGTCCGCCGCCGCCGTCCGCCGCCGTCGGCCCGCCGCCGCGGCGGCCGCGGCCTCGCCGTCGGCGCCGGCCGCGGCGGGGAGCGCGTCCTCCGCCGCGGCGGGCTCGGGCAGCGACGCGCCGCCGAGGACCGCGAGGGCGGCGCTGGCGCCCTCGGGGCGGCGCCGCCAGCGACAACGACGCCGTCCGTCGCGGTCGCGGCCGTCGCCGTCGCCGGCCGTCGCGGCGGCCGCCGAGCGCGGCCGCAGACGTCGCGGTCGCGGACGTCGCCGCGGCCGTCGCCGTCGCGATCGCGGCCGTCGCCGTCGCCGTCGCCGTCGCCGTCGCGGTCTGGGCCGCTGCCGCCGCCGCCGTGGTCGACGCCGCCTCGCGGGCCGCGCTGGCGCCCTCGAGGCGGCGTCGACGACGTCGCCGCCGTGGCTGTGGCCGTGGCGGTCGCCGTTGTGGTGGCCGCCCTGCGACGAGCAGCGAACAACGGCAAATGCTCCGCCTCCCTGCGCTGTCGCTTGACGAGTGGGGTTGATGATGACCTCTTTGTTCCCTCGTGCGTTGCCACGCGACGAGTCGAGTAGAAATGCATGTGTTTGTTCCGCGCGTGTGCGGTGCAATGTGACGACTAGATTCGAAACGTGTTGCTCCTCACCCTGTGCGTTGCCAGCTGACTAGTGCGGCATCACCGATGTTTGCCGCCTGCCTGTGCTGCTGTGTGACGAGTCGTGCAGAATAGGTGTTGTCTCCGCTTCCCCGGGGCTGCCACGTGACACGGGACGAACGAATAGCATCGTTGCTGTGTTTCGCACGCCTGGGTGGCCATGATAAATAAGGCTTGTTAGATGTACGCGCCCTTGTGTGGCAATGTGACGAAAAGGGCAGAACACTGTGGTTGTTTTTCCTGTCGCCCTCAGTTTGTGAGGCCAGCTCAAAGCCTCTGGGAAGCCAAAGGGGATAAAATACGTGGTGAAAGGGTGTGCCAAATCGAGCCTCAGCCGAAAGCCTCTGGAGGGATGTCGGGCACGATGTGCCTGAGAGGTGTGCCGAATGAGAGATCCCCTCAGCCATCTTTGCAATGAGCCGAAAGCATATGGAAGGCAAGGAGGCACGAGGTGCGTGAGTGGTGGGCTTCCCCCACACCCGCTGACTCCCATTATCTCCAGAGGAAAACAAAATGCCTCCAAAGGCAATCGTCGCCGTGCTGAACGAGCTCTGATTGTCCGGACAGGCTGACAACACCGAGAAGCCTCTCCGAGAATCGACGGTGCCGCGAAGACGACGAGCGGCGGCTGGCGGCAGCGATGCGACGGCTGCGACGGCTGCTACGACGACGACGACGACGACGACGACGACGACGGCTGCGACCACGACGACGACGACGACGACGACGACGACGACGACGACGACGGCTGCCATAATAACAACGACGACGACGACGATGACGACGACGACGACGGCTGCCACAACGACAACGACGACGACGACGATGACGGCGGCGCGGCGGCAGCGGCGGCGCGGCGGCAGCGCGGCGGCAGTGGCGTCGACAACGGCTGCGACGACGACGGCGGCGGCGCAGCGGCGAGCGGGGACGGCGGCGGCGGGCGGGTGCCTCGGCCGCCGCCGACGCTGGCGCGCCGCCTCCGTGGCGGGCCGCCCGCCGGGCCGCCCGCCGCGCGGGGGGGCCCCGCCGACGTCGATCGATCTGTCGATCCAGCGGTCGATCGATCGACCTCGATCGACCAGCGATCGACCTCGATCGATCGCCCTCGATCGACCTCGATCGATCGATCTGTCGATCCAGCAGTCGATCGATCGATCCATCAACTGATCGCCGTCGCCGTCGCCGTCGCCGTTGTCGCCGTTGTCGCCGTCGCCGCCGCCGTTGCCGACGCCGTGGCTCGCCCCGCCATCGTCGCCGCCGCCGCCGCGGAGGCTGGAAGGGCCTTTTTTTGCACGTTCGGCATCTGGGGGGGGGGGGGGGGGTGCACGCTTCGGGCCCCCAGGGCCGCCAGACGCCGATGCGGGATGAGAAGCCCACTGGATGCGAGGCGAGGATTTATACATGTCCACCGCCTGGGAACAGACGTCCTGGTGCCCCAGCGGGCGGTTGTTGTGGATATGTGGGCCCCCAGAGGCCCGAATGTATCCATAACTATCCACCGCCCGCGGGCAGCTTACGCGCCAAGATCGGCGAAGACGACCCCTTTTTTTGCGTCGTTCGCGTGTCTCAAATAGCCCAAATGGTGGCGCGTCAAGCTTTACAAGCGAATAAGCCCTGTACGAGGCTTTCTTGGAGGACCTCGTCGTCGTCGCTGTTCTGCGTCGTTGAGGATCGAGGTTCGAGGATCGAGGTTCGAGAACCAACGACGTGGACATTGTTATTCCCGAAGTTTGTTCAGGAGCTCCTGCAGGCTATCGTCGCCATGGCTGGACGCAGCTCGGGCAACTGGCGGGGATGGACCCAGGGAAGGGTTCAGGGACCAAGTTTGAGCGGATTTGGAGCCGCCCGTCGTCGTCGTCTCGTCGCCGCTCCTCGATCGTCACTCGTCGTGGGAGTGACCGTCGTACCAGAAGTGTGTTTGAGAGTGTAAAGGATTGTCAGGGCGCAACAGTTATGTAGATTCGCGGTGTCGAAGGCTCAGGAATGGTGCTCTGGCACGATTCTGGAACGTCAAGAAGCACCAGTCAGGTTGGTTCGTGACGCTGAAGTTCCAAGCATGGCCATTTGGCACACTTCAGGGTATTCCAACGGTTGCCTCCTAACGGGGCACTTCCCCCAATGTCCATGAACACTTGTAGGAGCCTCCGACGAGAGCTTGGAGAAAGTGCTTATTCCAACTTCGTTGATGAGTTTGGGGTTTAAACTGTTCTTCATCCTCATCCTCATCCTCACTCACATCCTGATCATCATCAGCAGTATCATCAGCATCAGCATCAGCATCAGCGTCAGAATCAGCATCGTCATCATCACCACCAGCAGCAGCATCAGCATCATGATCAGCATCATCATCAGCATCATCAGCATCAGCATCAGCACCATCATCATCATTATCATCATCATCATCATCAGCAGCAGCAGCATCATCATCAGCATCATCATCATCATCATCATCATCAGCAGCAGCATCATCATCATCATCAGCAGCAGCATCATCAGCAGTATCATCGTCAGCAGCAATAGAAGCCTCGTCATCAGAATCAGCATCATCAGCATCAGCATCAGCATCATCATCAGCATCAGCATCAGCATCAGCATCATGATAAACATCACCAACAACAGCAGCATCATCATCAGCGTCGTCATCATCGTCATCCTCAGCATCAGCATCATCATCATCAGCAGCATCATCATCATCATCATCGTAATCACCAGCATCATCAGCCTAATCATCATCATCACCATCTTCATCAGCGTCAGCATCATCAGCATCATCATCATCATCATGAGCATCAGCATCATCATCGTAATAAGCATCGTCATCAGCATCAGCATCATCACCATCATCAGCAGCAGCACCAGCATCAACCTCAGCAGCATCGTCATCAGAATCATCATCAGCAGCAGCATAGTCGGCAGCATCATCAACCTCAGAACCAACGATCAAAAATCACCGTCATCATCATCACCATCATCAGTATCAACATCCACAGCCTCGTCATCATCATCATCATCAGCATCAGCATCAGCAGCATGATCGATCGATCAGCATCATCATCACCATCAGCATCATCACCATCATCATCAGCATCATCAGCCTCATTATCATCAGCCTCATCATCAGCATCAGCATCAGCAGCACTATCGATCGATAAGCCGTCCCATCATCAGCAGCAGCATCATGATTATCAGCATCAGCATCATCATCATCAGCAGCAGCATCATCACCAGTAGCATCAGCAACAGCATCAGCAGCAGCAGCATCGTCATCATCATCATCATCAGCATCATCAGTATTATCAGTATCATCATGAGCAGTATCTTCATCAGTACCATTCCCATCCTCATCAACACCATCACTCCTCCCCCTGTCACCATCACCATCACCACCACCACCATCATCATCATCATCATCATCAGCATCAATATCAGCATCAGCATCAGCTTCAGCATCAGTATCAGCATCATCATCACCAGATCGTCGATCGATATCCATCATCATCACCAACACCATCAGCATCATCAAAGTAACCGTGAGTGCCAGCATCATCATCACCGTCGTCAACATCAATTGATAAGCATGGTCATCATAATCAGCAGCGTCATCATCAGTATCAGCATCACCATCAGCATCATCAGCATAATTAGCACCATCAGCATCAGCATCAGCAGCAGCGGCAGTTTCATTATCATCATCAGCAGCAGCAGCCCCACCACTATATCCCCATCACCAACACCACCACCACCACCATCATCATCATCATCATCAGCATCAGCATCAGCATCAGCATCATCATCATCAGATCGTCGATCGGTAATCACCAACACCATCACCACCACCATCATCATCATCATCAGCATCAGCATCAGCATCAGCATCGTCATCAGCATCAGCATCATCATCATCACCAGATCGTCGATCGATACTCATCATCATCAACAACACCATCAGCATCATCATCATCAATATAACCATGAGTGCCAGTATCATCATCATCATCATCGTCGTCATCATCGATCGATAAGCATGGTCATCATAATCAGCAGCAACATCATCAGTATCATCATCACCAGCAGCATCATCAGCATCATTATCACCATCAGCATCAGCAAGAGTAGCAGCGGCAGCACCGTTATCAGCAGCATCATCATCATCACCAGCACCACCACCACCACTATATCCCCATCACCGACACCACCATCATCATCGTCATCATCTTCAGTATCAGCATCAGCATCATGATCATCACCGGGTCGTCGATCGATAATCATCATCATCGCCAACACCATCATCATCATCATCATCATCATCAGCATCATCAGCATCATTATAATCATGAGCAGCAGCATCGTCATCCTCATCATCACCCTCAGCAACATCATCATAATCATCGTCGTCATCGTCATCGTCCTCATCATCAGCAGCATCATCATCCGCATCAGCATCGTCAGCGGCATCATAAGCATCAGAATCATCGATCGACAATATCAATCATCATCATCATCATCATCATCATTATCCTCATCTGCCTCATCATCATCAGCCTCATCATCAGCAATAAAATCAGAATCAGCAGCATTATCGATTGATAAGCATCCTCATCATCAGCAGCATCATTATCCGAAGCATCATCATCATCACCGTTATCATCATCAGCTTCCTTATTATCAGCCTCGTCATCATTATCAGCATCAGCATCAGCAGTATGATCGAACCATAAGCATCATCATCATCATCATCAACAGCATCATCATCATCAGCATCATCATCACCATCACCATCATCATCGTCATCAACAGCATCAT